ATTAAAATTTTTCAATTGTTTTCTAAGAGCTACTTGCCTAAATTGGACATTGAGGCCGCCAAGGAGAATTCCAGTGGTCAGTTTTGGCCCAGGATGTGCCCACTGCAGTAAGAAGATTAACTTTTTTCGAGAGCGGAGGTTAAGCTGATTACATGGGGATTTTAAAGTAAGGCGTACAAACAGTTGAATTGTACATAAAATTCAGTAGCTCATGCAATTTAAAACAGTTGGCAATGACCAGGCGATGAAAAGGGTGGCAGAATTGTACCCATGAGTTGACTGTGTATTTAGTAAGTACTGTTGCATGTCATTCCAACGCTTTTTTTTATAATTATTTGAGAAGCCTTTGTCGTTGTCATGTATCTCAACGATAGCAACTGTAATATGTCACTGAGTTGATTTTTTTTTTCTAAGAGTGTAGGATCATAACAACAGACTTAATTGCTGAAAAAGGTTACTGTCAAATAAAAGTGACATTAATCATCTGACTCTTAGTCAGCCTATTCGACCTTGTTTTAGGAAGTATTTTCAAAACATGAAGTATTTAAAGGAAAATAATTGTAACTTATTCGTCGAAATCAAAACAAATACTTTGGCCTGGGATGCCAGAATATTCTGTTAGCTACAGACGAGTCAAATTGCGTGTGTTTATCATCCGTTAATGGTGCACATTTCAGCAAGTCCGTATCTCCTGCAACGCAAAATATACGATCGGAATGACTAAAAATAAACTATCTTTATTTGCCTCTGCACATTTTGTGGACCGGTAGTAATTTATATCACAGCATGCAGATTTTGGGTTAAAAGCGAAATATTTCAGTGAAGTATAACTAACTTATTTGTCAACTTCGTTGCTTTCCTATGATCATGACTTGTTTTGCTGCCTAAGGAGAAGAGACAGATCCATTAAAAATAATTAATTATCAGATATGCGATAGCCTGTTATCACATCTACATTAATTAATTATCAGCTAGCTTCATTCAACACAAGTTCAAGATATGAAAGTTATGTGTGATAGCTTTTCCTCCGCCACGGGACTCGCACTGCACGCTTTGTTTTCTTTCGTAGTTTTATCTTCATGTTAGCCAACCTTGCTGAAAAAGCGTTATGATGAAGCAATAACCTTAAGCAAAAAGATTAGTCGGAAAAAATACACCTTTAAGTGTTTACTTCAATTAGTTATTGCAATAACACTTTTTTTGTTTGTCTTCAGCCTTTCCTTTCCATCTGAGGTAATTAGTCAGGTAATAGAATTCTTGGTAGTACGTGACGTTTCCACCGCTGCCAAGGGCTTTTTTTCGATTTTCCTTCTGGCCTTAATAACTGTGTGGATAGATTCTGTTTGTTTTCTGGCTCTTTTTGTTTCCTGTGTCCGTTGTTATGCGCGGTAAGACCATTAGGGGGCAATTTCTCTCCCTTACTAATCTCATTACGTTCATGAACATCTTTTCCTAATGATCGCCACATTTGGTTGTATATCTTTGGTTCCGTATAATGCCTCCATTTCCATCGCGAGTAATTTATTTTCTCCTTCAAGATCCTTTCTACTGAACTTGAACTTTTCAAAGGTTGGCTGTTTTGCTTGTATGCTGTAGCATTCTGAAGTGCTACTTCAGTCAGGCGTAAATCAGAAATGTTTGGTAAACTTCTGCAGTAATGATCTTGCTGTAACTCAAATGATGGACTTGTCTTGAAGTCTTGTTTAAACTCGCCAATAATTTGCTTTAAGCACAAAGATCTCTTTTGAAATTCTGACTCCTGGACTAAATGTTTACTCACAGACTGTGCAGGAAGACTGCAATCACCTCTTGACCCGTCCAATCTGGGGCGAAGACGCCGCTGATTCAGTTCTAATAGTTTGCTTTTCCTGTCCTGAGTTGTTCTTGTCTTCGACAAGTACAGCAAGGACACTTTTCCCTCCATTTCTAAACCAAAAATGTCCTGTGGGTTTAATTGTAATTATCGGCAAAAGATTCCATATTGTTGTTATATTTATATCAGTCAAGGAAAGCATCGATCATACAGACTCTCCTCACTATGACTTAGATAATGCTTTTGCTAAAACACTCTCTACTTACCGATATTATTGTTGGTCAAAGAATACTCTTCAAGTTTTCGCAGATTAGAGTGAATTTGCGTACTTTCTCGAAACACAGAAAATCAATTGAATTTTCAGAATTTACACAGTGATTATCACACTTAAGTGGTTGCAAAAGTTTACTTACTAATGAGACCTTAATGTCGTTTTATTGTTTTCTGGCCATTGTTCACTTAGGCCGTTATTTTAGTCAATTTGTAAACACAAAACGAGTGCCCATTCCCTAACTTTAATTACAATCTCGGCGTTCCTAATTGATAGTGGGGCAGTTGCCACGGCTTAAAATGAAATGATAAACAGCCCTGAGTAACAGCAATAATCCGTGAAAGTTCTAGATTACCGTCCCTACAGCTAAGCGAAAAGTTCGTGCCAAACCGAAGCGTTTCTCAACTGGAGCGAGTTTTGATGCAGTAACCTTTGTATTTTTCACTTACTAGTTAATCCAGCACATATTGAATCGAAATATTCTTGAAATAAAAGAGTATTGAACAATATGACTAATATTCGACTGCTAATTAGATATCTGTCTTATAATGTACGGGTCTCATCTCTTAATCCTCGCTTACTTCGTAAAACTAATTGCATTTCGCACTAACAGGATTTACAGCTTATCTACTTGTGTAATAGGATTCATTATCTACTTGTGCATAGGATTCAACTTGCCGTGGGAAAAGAGCCCATGGTGTTTAGCCTTCGTCGCACCATACACTGTTCCTCTGAAGACGGAACAAAATGTTACCCGAAGAAAGGCAGCAATGTCACTCACTCTCAATGACTTGACCTCCTCGCTTTTAGTACGCAGATTCTCGTGTCCCCCTCCGAAAGACGTAGATCACAATGCCCAGTTAGAAAAGCTCACTCAAAAGTATGGCTTTTAGTTTATAAATAAGCTTTAACTCGGTATGTTTACAGCCTGTATGGGTTTAGCACATTTATTCAACACAAGTGAAAATGGAACACAACAGAAAATGAAAACATACAGTGCATATGTTAAAAGGAAGCTGGGATATGGGAAGATCTCTGCTAGATAATCAAGTAACTTATCTGGTATCTGCCCAAATTTTACGGTTTAATAAATGTTTCTCCTAGATTTTAACAGCTGACAAAGAAAAAGATGTTGATTATTATTTTTTCGGGGTTGAGATTACTTCCGTCGGGGTTCTACCTAAAGTAGTGTACAAAGGAAATTTGTAAAAAGAAAAACTTACATAAAAAAAATTAGATACAAAAAGAGAAAAAGGAAAAACGAGATAGAAAGGATGATAATAAGATAAATAGGAGAGAAGACAGCAAAACCAAAATGCAAATTTCCTGGGGAGGAGATACTCGGCCCCCAAGCTAGTTCGAGAGTTACTCCTTGCCGCAAGCTCCAAATCATATTTGGGGAGAAGTTATTCGGCCCCCAAGCCAGATTGAGAATAACTCCTGTAGCGTGATTCGAACCCGCAACCTTGATGACCTCCCTCCAACTCGTTGCGCGCTCACGATTGCCATTCGACCATCTGGAAACTAATTAATATACTGGTATAAGTTGTCGGAGTAGAGAGTTTTTAAATATTGGGCTGGGGGGGAGGGTGAGGAACTTTGTGTGATTCAGGGAGTGTAATCGAGCGTTTCCGGTCAACAATAAACGAAATGAATCATACAAAGAACTGATAAGAGCTATGTAAACGAGGAATATTAGCATATGTTGTAATGGCGGACGCCCTGGTTTGCCGGGGCTCGTCAAACACGACGATTCGATCGGACACTTCTCAAAGAAGCTATCAAGTGTGTGCATTGGGACAATGTTACACAACAGGTATCACGCAGTTTTACCTCTGTGGACGCATTTTTCCACGCAGACATTCATTTTACTTTATGTTCAATTTTCATCAGGCGCGGGATTTTTAAAAAATTCATTTGTTGGATTAATCAACAAAGACTTGTAATGTATCTTGGTGCGATAGAACATATTTAAAACATTATACTGACTGACGTCATATATTTACGTAACCATATGAGCTAAACAAGTCCAGGAAAGCCAGTTGGTGGGTAAGGTAAATACAAACCTCCCAGCTAGAGATTGGAAGAGAGCTAAGGCATTGAGAAATTAATGGTAAACGCAAATTGTGATATAAAATCCGACAATTACTATAAAGAAAGTTCAGACCATTCGTAAGCTGTTTTGTTAAAGTTTTTTTAGCTGCTCTGACACTCTTCGCAATTTGAGTGCATTATTTTACTAAGAGTAAACGGCTCAGAACTCGAAGTCGCCGTTTGACAGAGCTGGCGGCCAGGAATCAAAGAACCGTGCACGACAATACAAGCGGACCCTTGTTATCTCGTGGGCAGTTGGAGCAATTTTAACAAGGGTTAATAAGTGCCAAAATTGTCCCCACGGCTACCAGGGAGTTAAGTGTCCCTTTAGGGTTACCTAGTGGAAAATAACCTTATGTGATAATAGGAGAAAAAAGTAATCCCAGAATAAATGGGTGGGTCCACAGGGGTGTTAGATACAAAAAGAGTCATCTGGGCAAGTATGTTGCAAATGAAAAATGGTCCGCGGCCGCGCAGTGGCAAGTGGGTAAGATCCCTTGGGGGCTTGTTTAAAGGCTTTATGATCCGTTGATTTAGGATAAAAAATTTTTTAAACTGCAAGTCATAGCTAGACCTGTCCCGATTGTGCTCGTAAAACCATTGGCGTCTCG